GGACAGATGAGAACTAAAAAAAAAAATCCAGAAAAAAAGTCACGAAATGGCAATAAATACATTGCTTATCAATAGTTACTTTAAATGTCAATGGACTAAATGCTCCAATCAAAAGACATAGGGTGGCTGAATGGATAAAAAAACAAGATGCATATATATGCTACATACAAGAGACACACCTCAGACCTAAAGACACTCACAAACTGAAAGTGAAGGGATGGGAAAGGACACTCCATGCAAATGGAAATGAAAAGAAAGCTGGGGTAGCAATACTTATGTCCAACAAAATAGACTTTAAAACAAAAACTGTAATAAGTGACAAAGAAGGGCATTACATAATGATAAAGGGAACAATCCAACAAGAGGACATAAGACTTGTAAATATCTATGAACCCAACATAGGAGCACTTAAATACATAAACAATTATAAACAGACATAAAAAGAAAAATTTGACAGTAACACAATAGTAACAGGCGACTTTAACACTCCACTTACAATGGACAGATCATCCAAACAGAAGATGAATAAGGAATCATTGGCCTTAAATGACACATAAGTCCATCTGGGCTTAGTAGATATATACAGAACATTCCATCCAGACTACACATTCTTTTTGAATGCACATGGAACATTCTCCAGGATAGATCACATGTTAGGCCACAAAATAAGTCCCAATAAATTTAAGAAGATTGAAATAATACCAAGCATCTTTTCTGACCACAACAGTATGACATTAGAAACCACCTACAAAAAGAAAACTGGAAAAGCCACAAATATGTGGAGATTAAACAAAATGCTACTGGACAACTACTGGGTCAACAAAAAAATCAAGGGAGAAATCAAAAAATACCTGGAAACAAATGAAAATGAAAATACAACATACCAAAATTTGGTAACAGTGGTACTGAGAGGGAAGTTTACAGCAATACAGGCCTACTTAAAAACAAGAGAAATCTCGAATAGACAATCTAAAAATACACCTAAAGGAACTAGAAAAAGAACAAACGAAGCCCCAAATCAGTAGAAGGAAGGAAACAATAAAAATCAGAGTGGAAATAAATGAAATAGAGACTTCAAAAAAAAAAAAAAAAACAAGAGAGGCCAGCCCAGTGGTATAGTGGTTAAGTTCATGCACTCTGCTTCAGCAGCCCAGGGTTTGCAGGTTCAGGTACCAGGCACAGACCTACATACCACTCATCAAGCCATGCTGTGGTGGCATCCCACATAAAGTGGAGGGAGATTGACACAGTTGTTAGCCCAAGACTAATCTTTCTCAAGTAGGGGGGAAAAAATGAGGAAGATTGGCAACAAATGTTAGCTCAGGCCTAATCTTCCTCAGCAAAAAAAAAAAAAAGGGCTTAGGAGCACTTGCTAAGATAGCCTCGGATCCTTTGATTTGATTGGAGACACAATACTTACAGGAATGATACGCAGAAACATGCAGCAATCCTATTTCTAGGTGCTGTTCCAGTTATGGAAGAGGAAAGAATATGAGGAATGAGTAGCCTATGCAAAGCATGGAAGAAGGAAGGAGGATAAGAGGAAAGAAAAGAAGGAAGGAAGGATGCAATGAAGAAAGGAAGGACAGGAGGGAGGGAGGGAGGAAGGAAGAAAATTGTAGAAGAGCAAGAAGTTTCAGAGGGCAATTGGTGTGTCTAAAATGATCAAAGGAGAGATGCAGAGTTTGCCATCATGGAAGGTGCAAATACAAGCAAGATGATGGAGATAAGGCAGTGTGTGACATTTACATTTTCTGAAAAGCAGAAGAGGACACCAAAGTTAAAATGTAACTGAAAACATTCAAATTTGACAAGAAGGTATGTGACCTGAAAAAAATGTGACAGCAATAAAAACAGCCAATAATATTTAAGTTTCGAACCAAAGGCCCGGGATAAAAGACTTTTAATCTGTTAAGTCACTTAATTATGATGCCAATCCTGAGAGATAGATATTGTTAGAACCATTCTAAGGATTGGATAACTGAGGGTTAGAGAGGATAAGTAACTGGTCTAAAATCTCATATCTAGTGATGGAGTCAAGATTTGAACACTGACAGACTTCATTCATTCATTCACTCATTCTCTCAACAGATATTTACCAACTAGATACTACCAAGCTCCTAGGTGTCAGTTACTGGTGAAGAAAATAGACATATTCCTTGCTTTCAAAACCTTATCATCTAATAAAAAAGACAGTCAATAAACACCTAAATAAACCACTATCTAATTATAAAATTTGATAAATACTATCAACAAAATGGCCCGAGGGCAGTAATACAAAATAAAGCAGGGCATTACCAAATTAGCATGGTTAGAGAGGTTTGACTGAGACCTAAAGGATGGGAAAGAGCCAGCCAATAAGAGGAAGGGAAGAAGCATTCAAAGAGGAGGGAGGAGACTGTGCAAAGGAACCAAGAAAAGGCCGACACAGCTAGAGCACTGAGCACAGCATAGTAGCGAGAGGAGGCTGGGCGGGCAGGGCAGGGTCGCGGCACAGGGCTGCTGCTAGTTAGGAGTTCGAATTTTATTGTATTGAATTTTACTTTAAGTGCATTGGGAAGGCAAAGAATGGTTTTATTTATTTATTTACTTTGGTGAGGAAGACTGCCCCTGAGCTAAAATCTGTTTGCCAATCTTCCTCTGTTTTTTTGTACGTAGGATGCTGCCACAGCATGGCTTGACGAGCGGTGTGCAGGTCCACACCTGGAATCCAAAACCGTGAACCCTGAGCTGCCAAAGGGAAGTGCATGAACTTAACCACTACGCCACCGGGCCAGCCCCAAGAATGGTTTTAGATAGGCTAGATTTGTTTGGCTCAAACACCATACTGGCTTCTGTGTAAATAAGGTAGGAGGCAAGAGTAGAAATAAACAGACCAGGAAGGAGGCTCTTGCAGGATTCCAAGACAGATGATGGTGACTTGGGCCTGGGTGGTTGCAGTGGAGATGAAAGAATGGCTCTCGGAAATAATCTGAGACATGTTTTGGTGGTAGAAACAAGAGGCCTTGCAGATAGAATACAGCGAGGGCTGAAGGAGAGGGAGGCACAGAGGATGACTCTAGTCCTGTGCACTGCTCCGTCTTGCATGTCATTTGATTTTCATAGCATATATCTTATATCGAAAAGTGAGCTGGATTTATATTGGTATTTTAAATGGCGTATCTTTTATAAATATTTCATGTGGTAAATCTCAGTTTCTACACTAAGCTCACCCTCTGATGGTAACACTGCACTGAAGCACATTGTCTGGGAAGAGACATACTTTGAGGTGGGGTGTGGTGGAAAGAGAAGGGGCTTTGACACCAAACCACCTTGGGTTGAGTCACAGCTCTGTCATATCGCTGGATACATACACACAACACTAAGCCTCAGACTGTACATACACAGGTAAGTACTCTCTCATAGTTTGGCTGTGAGAATTAGAAAGGATAACTTACAGTAAGTCCTGACATGTAGTAGAAAGTCAACAAATGTTAGACTCTGCCCTTCCTTTCCCTTTTTCCTGTTACAGTGGTGAGAACGCCATCAATAGGTTCTGAAAGAACCTTCTGTAACAGAGAGGAGTGGTTTGATTAAGTGCTATATTTTAGATGACTGAGATAGACTCCAGATAAGGGGCTGTAGATCCTGTTAGGGGTCCTAAAGGGTACTTGCATGGCAGTCCTAGTTCTGTAACAACCACCCTTACCCCCTGTCTTAGAAGAGGTGCCAGACATACAGGACGCCCAGTTATATTTGGATTTCAGATAAACAGCAATTTCTTTAAAAGCATAAGTATGTCCTGTACACAATTTGAGACATACTTAATGTTTTCCGTTGCTTATCTGAAATTCAAATTTAACTGAGCATCCTCTATTTTTATTTGCTAAACTTGGCAACCCTATGACTAGGCAAGTCTCTGCTTTGATTAGGAATAAATTGCTCCAAGCTGCTTCCTTCATAGTCCCTTGAGATGCTCCAACGCTTCTCTGTATGAAAGGTTGTCTCTCACATCATAGTTCTATGCTTCTACCCCTTCTACTTTCTTTGTATATTTCATTTACTCTCTCTCACTCTTACCAACAAATATATGAATTCCAAACTCTATTGAGTAACACTATATTAGGCACGCAATTTTACTTAGTGGTCATAAAAAATGCTGCTCTGTGTGTTGTGGGGGCAGTGGTGTGCGTGCGTGTGCTGTGTTAACCTTTTAAAATGAAGATTATGTTAATAACACATCATCATGAATACATTTTGAGAGTTTTCTGGTAGCAGTGAATTAAATCTGCATCCACATTATTGGAAACTATTTAGATCCTACAGGAGTAGAACCGGTTATTGAATAAACTGGAAGAGAAAAGCTTTGAGTTCATTCAATAATCACCGTCTACCAAAAGTTAAGAGTTGGAAATCCTTTAGTTTAAATCAAACTACGTGAAAAAGAACTTGAAAGTTTAGGCCATAGTTTTATCTGTCTAAGTGCTCCTTTTGCATATAGTCAGGAGTTTCCATTTCCAGTTTCAGGACTGAGGAAAAAAATTAAAGAAAACATAAATACCTAGTTAATTAAATGAGACATCTAGAGCAGTGTTACTCTTAGTTATTGTTCCACAACAAGCTAAGGAGCTTCATCCAGGATGAAAAGAAATACTTCAAGAAAGTTTTGTTATTAAAAAATTGTCAGGTGAACTAAACAAAGTATTTAATACTAGTTGATTTACATAATGGTACAAGCTCATTTTCTCATTGTGGACTGGTAACAAAAAATTCAGACTGGTGACAGTCTGGGGACCACATTTTAAGCAGCACTGATGTAAATGACCCCAGAATTTTCTAAGTCATACCCTCAATATAATGGCATAAATGGAGAGATCTCTTCCTTCTGGCCATTTTGTGGACCAAAGACCCTCTTATTTCCTTGAAATAAAGGCATAAATATTTTCTCCATTCTAACACCCTAACTAAATATCTATCAAAACAATAGTTGCCCCAATTTTAGAAAGAGGATGTGTGCTTACTCTTCTTGTCGTAAGTCATTGACGCTGCGGTCCAGTGAGATCATGTCACTTGCCACCATGTTAAATCCAAACTCTTTAATGCTGGCTTGAACTGCATGTTTGAATTCTGGTCCCAAAACCAATGGCTTGGCTTTCTCTCCAGGGCCACCAACCACTCCATGAGGCTCGGGTTCTTTGGGTTCAAAGTTACCGAGGATCCCTGGGCGTAGCACAGGATCACGGTAGGTGAATGTCTGAGGCTTAAATGTGAGATACTGCCTCTGTATTATGTCTTTCTGGTTATCTCCTCCAGCATGGCGCTCTTGTTCATTTTTGGCCTTGTTTTTTCTTCTAATAGACTCTAAGTCCACTTCTACTCCTTCAACATGAGGCCATGGTACCACAGGTTTGAATCTGTCATCCCCAGGAGCTAATCCATTGCCTCCTCGGTTAGGCATGGGGTTATTGACATCTCTCTCTTCCTATACAAAAGGGAGGGGATATACAATGAGTACATGAAGGCAAACCACAGCAGTTTATGATACCAATTTTCATGTCTACAAAAAGGCTGAGGCAACAATAAAATGGTTTAAAATGTGAAACAGAAGCAGGCCATTAACCAGGACTTCCCATTAGAAGACATCTTTAGCCAGGGAGGAGGGAGGACGTACCAAGAAATAGACTATTCTCTTGCCTTACCATTCCAAAATAAACAAATGGATGCATTTTTTTACTTCTCCCCTTCTAAACCTAACTCTCTAGCAAAGACCTCTTAACAAAGCACATTGTTATGGGTTAGAGCAATGAGCTTCTAAGACCTATAACAAAATCAGACACTTAATAGGTCATGTGGTACAGTATGTAGTTTTCCCAGTTGTCTGGCATACGATACACATAACTTTTTGTCAGTAATACAGCCACACGGTGGGAGTGGTGTTAGATGTCACTCGTCATTAGGCTGGCTTCGTGCCCCTAAGGCAGAGGAACAAGGCAGGGATACACATTCAGTTCCAATTTGGTATTTTCTATTTAGCGAGAGTTCAGCTGAATTCAGAACTATAAAAAAAGCTCTAATAACTGTAACCAAGTCAGTTTGGGTTTTAAACCACACCCAATACCTACTTTGCCCCACTCCAAAGGCAGCCCAGGTAAAAGCAGCTTTTGCATGTAAGGATACTCTGCGAGGGCGGCCTCCCTACTCTGTTTAGATCCTCCTCATCACCAATGCAGACCTTTCAGTGAGAAATCCCGAGTGCTTTTGCTTCTGAGGTATTTTCTGTCAAGTTTTTGCTAAACCAGTACCATTCTTTGCACAAAGCACTGTTTCTCAGCATTAACATCAATCACCTCGGTGTCTTTGAAAAATACTGCTCTCTGTGTTCCACCCCCAGCCTCTGTGATTTAATTGCTTTGGGCATTCAGAGTTTTAAAAGTTCCCCAGGTGATTTTAATATGCACCCAAGCTTGAGAACTACTAACTTAAAGGGAGAGCTGCGAGCTATAATTAGACACGGGGATTACAGAGTATACACAGCTGGGGAAGAGGCAAGGCGAGCTTTGAACAAGTGCAAAATAGGCTAACTGGTCTGCCCCTTCACTCCACACTAAGATTATGGGATTCCTTAATAGATTCATAATACAATTAGTACCATCTAACCAAAATGTTTCTACAGCGTTAGAACGGTCTTGAACAGTAAAGTTAAAAACTTTGTTTTAAAGGGTACAGAAGTAAGATTCTAGGGCTGATGCTGATGCGTAGGTTGCTATCTACTGGCAGTTTAGCGACAAAGATCTCTTCAGAAAGTCAGTTAATGCAAATGTGAATTTAGTTGATGTTGACGTTTTGGTAAGGGATAGCTAACGATTGATTTTAGAGAGTTCAAAAAGGAATTTTAAAAATTTATCAAGTTTTCAGGTAAATATAAGCATGTGATACCAAATTCAAAGTATCCAAAGGGCAGAGAGTGAAAAGCAAGTTTTCTGCCTTCCCTTCTGTAGAGGCAATCGTAGCCAGCACTGTCTGGTGGATCTTTCTACAGATGGTATATGCATGTATAAACATACATGTGTATATATAACAATTGTTTTTGAATGTGGGACATAGATTTTAATTGACTTATTAATTAAAAAGAGAACTGTAAGATGTTGCAACTGGTTCAAAGGTGAATCCAAAGAACAGACAAATATAGAAACATCAAGAATATTGCAAAGAAGTTACAAATAGACGCAAAACTGGTACAACTGGTCAATATCCAGAAGGCAATAACCAATTGCACTCCATTGTACACAATTCCCATGGACAAGAATCTTTTGCATTACTATCAGGTTTCTGTCATTTACAGGACTGTAAAATAGCTCAAAGATAATGAAACGGTGAGATAACCTAGAAAGCTGAGTCAGACTATACCCAGTAATCTTTTTGGTCCATTTCAAAGAATTTTCTCAATTCTCCTCCTATAACACAAAACTAAATATAAAATGCAACTCTCAGCCTGATTATATAAATGTGATGCCTGTCTTCAGGCATGTGTTACAGGTACATAAGGCTTCTGGATCAGGCTTCTGATCATCACACAACTGAGCAGCAGGGACTTAGCTGGAGCCTAATCTGTGAGCCCTACTAAGAGTCAGAGGTAAATGGGTAGGAGGTAGTGTTGCCAGAAATCTTATATTCATGAAGTCCTTAAGATTCTCGTGGGAATTAACTCATCCAAAGGAGAGGAAGCCAAGCATGACTCTAATGGAGAGGTAGGCACCAAAGTTGAGGGGTGATTCTAATGATAGAAAAATATCCATTTCTCCAATTTATCTTCTGGCTTTTTCCAAAACTATACTCACTTATGGCAGTGTTGTAAGCAAATTAAAATAGAGAAATCACTATAAAAGTCTAAGATATTGGACCCAAGTTGATGTTGAACCAAGTATAACACAAAAAGGAGAAAGACATTCTCACCAACTTCAATTTTTCACATCAAGGCTCCAGTGCATCAGTAACCAGGAAGGTAAAAAGTGAGGAGAAGGAAATGTCACTAAATATAGAAATGTAGATTGAACAGGTCATCAGACGTCAACATGCATAACCATAGCATCCATTAGATTACCTAATATTCCACAGAGGGAAAATTGCATATTGGAAGAATGTGAAATATGATGGTACACGAAATCAAGATATCCAAATTGTGAAATACATGGTATGGTGTAGTTTGGCCAATGCTGAGGGAAAAATTACAAATTTAAATATTTCTGAAATTTACCCTCCTCAACAAGAGAATATTTAATAGATTCAAACTTAGTGCTTATCTTCTCCAAACATTGTTCTGATCTTTTCTTTGTCTAATCTTTGTTAGTGTTTATAGTTCCATTAGAAGTCTACCTGTCATTCTTCCCCTCATTGTGAGTTATTTCATTCTCTTCCAAGCGAGGTGATCAGATTTATATTGACTATACCTACATCCATTTCCTCAGCCCCCATCAACTTCTGATCTCCGGACTTTATAGTCAACTGCTTCCTGAACATTTCTACTTATATGTCTCTGGTACCTAAATTTAAGATACCCCAAACTGAATTTATAATTTGCCCCACATCACAAACCTGTTTCGACTACTGTCTTTCCCCTACTTCAGGGACTGGAACCATCATCCACTCAACTGATCAAGTCCAAAACCTGCATTTCATCCTGCATTTCTTGCTCTCTTTTATCTACCCTACTGACATCCAATCAATCACTAATTCTTGTCAATTCTAACACCTGTGTAGCTCCTGAATTTGGCGACTTCTCTCCATTACCCTCATTGCCATTGCCTTAGTTCATTACCCTCACCTCTTCATTGTTTTTTCTACATAGCAGCCATAGTGACTTTTCTGAAATTCAAATATGAACACGTCACTTGCCTTGCTTACAACATTCCACTGCTGGCCCACTCCCCTCAGGAGAATTTACACTGCTTAACAAGGTTGATAAGACTTTTCAGGCTCCAGCCTGCACCTCCATCACACCCACCAGAGCAGGGGTTGGTTAACTTTTCCTATAAAGGGTCCAGTAGTAAACATTTTAGGCTTTGCAGACCATAGGGTCTCTGCTGCCAATTATTTAAGTCTGCCATCATAGTGCAAAAGCAGCCACAGACAATATGTAAATGAATGGGTGTGGCTGTGTTCCAGTAACACTTTACTTACAAAGACAGGTGGTGGATGGACTTGGTCCCCCAACCCCTGCACTAGACTGTAAGTTCTGTGAAAGGATAGGGGTCATATCTATCATATGCACCATTGCATTGCCGATGCTTATCCTAGCATGTGATTCTTTAATAAATATTTATTGAGAAATAAATGAACCCTAAAATTTCTGCTTTGGTTAGGAGCGAGACTGAGAAGACAAGGGAAAGACAATGGAGAATACGGAGTGGGAAAGAGGGGTTTGGATCAGATAGCACCTTTCTGGCAATATTTTATGAATTCAGCAAGTGAATGGGACATAATTTTATATTCTCTGCACAGTATTGCACTCTTAATAATGCTATATAACAGTCACCAGAAAAATTGAATTTGCTCATTTCTCAATGCCTGTATGTCATTAAATCTGAAGGCAAAACCAAATATGAGAATTGTCTGTCTAACCTGAAGTCAATTAAGAATAATCATGTCAAATCTTAATGTTACATGATTCAAAGAATGGTTATAAAGCAGTGCAATACTCAACTCCCTCAAGAAGGAAAACTATATTCTCCTTCCTCCTGAGAGTGAATAAGAATCAGTAGACGCCTTTGTGACTCACTGGTACTCTAATACCTTCATAAGCACCAGCTGACTTACTGTATAGTCAAAGTCCATGAATCGCTGTTCATACAAATGGAAAAGAGAATAGCTGGATAATCTTCTCAGATCAGTCTATTCATAAAAGTGGAAACGTACTGACAAATATAATCACTTATCACCAGACGGAAATACGAGATTATCAGAAATCAAGTCCGACTATTCACCTTACACCTTACAAAGCTCCCCCCTCACCTCCAAATCCTACTTAAGTGTGATATTTTTCTAACATGGCCATGCCTCAGTAGAAATTATATGAATACGAATGGATTTGCAAAAACGGTCTGGAAAGCAAATGAAAGTAATATAGGCTTGTTCGGATTTGTAATTATAGGTGAACCCTAAAAAACTAAGCTCTTAATGATGAGCTTCTGCAGTCACATGCTCTCTTGAGAAATTACAATATAGCTCTCGGAAGTGGCCACTGCTAACAATATGCACACTATTTGGTTATCATTCTGTCTGAGCCACAGAACTTAAAAACAGAACAAGTCAAATTTAATTCTATGATTTAAAAACCCTCTTGATAAAAAACACCTTTGAGTAGAAAAATCACATCAGCTTTTTTTCTCTGGCTGTACTTGCTCACCCAGAAGGAGCAGAAGAAACAGGGGCAAAGAGAACAGGGAGGGAGGTGGTAAAAATAAAGAACTGCCAAAGTTCAGAAGA